TTAACAATCTCATAAGAACTTATCTCTCTCTCACTCACTCACTCATTAGGCTCACCAAAACTACAGAAAAGAGCAGTCATGGTCTCCAGACAAAGGCTGTGCAGTCAAAAAAATCTAAATAAACCAGTTAATACACACACACACACACACACACGCACAAACACACACACAGTCCAGTAGATATGAAGAAAAAAAAAAATATAATTTAGAACTGTAAATTTACAGTCATATGTTTATATATATATATATATATATGTATGAGCAGTTGGACAGGTGTACCTAATAAAGTGGCCGGTGAGTGTATATACAAATATATAGATATATATATACATATACCTCGCACTTTTTCGCCCTCATGTCCCTCCGTTTTCACACAAACATGCCCCCACTTCCTCACTGCCTCGGCCAGATCTAGACCCACAGCTAGTCCCTGATTTTCCCTCTTGTGTTGTGGCGTGGAATAACATAGCGCAGACCACGCCTCAATATTGGGCATAAATCTGAAATATCTGCAACAAGCTGACTGCGACACACTGCTGAGGGAATATTAACAGCCCTTTAGCCGTTCACTTTTTGGCAGAACATCACTGTTTGGCACGACAAATGTGAACCATCAGTGTGCAGAGGAAGGCCAAACTTGGAGCTAAGCGAGAGCAATGATGTATTTCTGCACAAGCACAGCTGGAAGAGCAAAGTTGGTCTGGAAACGGAAAATTCCGAATTACTTTCACCCATGCTGCAGGTGCCACACCCCCTCTGTGTTACCTGGCAACTCCGCCCATGCAGAATGTTCAGCATTCTAAATGGGCGGGCATTATGATGTCATAACATATCATACATAGAAGACAGCCCAGTCATAAGCCAGTTTGTGTTTCAGAGCAGTTTGATCAAGAGCTAGTTCCCCACACAGGAAAACCTTTTTGGAAAACATTTTTAGAGATTCATTTTAAGTCTTCAAAATGCTTTCAAATATTTACAAAGACAATATGGACAGGGAGAATAACTTCTTTTTGGAGTCTGACTTTAACAACAACAGTTCTGATGTTCTTGAGGCGTTGAGAAATCACACGTTTTTGACAGAAGACAGGTTGGGACTCACATCATTAAATCCCCAACAAATTCTATCCAATTTTGATGAATTTTCGACCAACAACTCTGAAGCTCAAAGTTCATCTTCTGACAACATTTACAGTGTCACTTCAGGCAACTACGACTCACCCAAAGATAATTTCTTTCCTGCTAGGACCGGAGAAATCCCAGAAAGCTTGCCCTTGCACTCATATCACAGGACCTCATCAAATTGGTCCAGCGGGATCCCCTCTCCTCAAAGCTACCCATACCTTTGGTCCGAATTATGCTCAGAACCCAGTACTGTGACACCCCAACTCT